GGATGGGAGCGCCTAGCGCCGCCGTGCCGACGCCTCGCCGACGCCTCCGTCTGGAACACCCAGCGGGGACCCGCGGGGACCCGCGGGGACCCGGGGGCCGGCCCAGCGGGCGGGCGTCCACTTTCGACGCTCCTCTCGTTCCCGCCCTTCTTTGGAGGATCAAGGCTCGAGATGAAACGGGCGCGGAGGGGTGGCAGTGAGAGGTGAGCTGAGGGAAGAGGGGTGGCTGCTGCTGCTGCTGCTGCTGCTGCTGCTGCTGCTGCTGCTGCTGCTGCTGCTCTGGATTTCGGTGAGGGGGGAGGGGTGGTGGCGGCGCTCAATTTAGGGGATTTGGCGACGAGGGGGTGTCGCGGCGTCCCGCGCGGGTCTGCTGGTGGGGCGGGGGTCCGTGAGATGTAGCTACCAGGCCACCGCGCCGGGGCCCCGCGGGGGGAAGGACTGGGGCTGGGCCGAGGCAGATGGACCGCCGCTTTGATCCCCGTTTTCATTTGCGTTCTGCGGAAGTCATTTCCTGGTCCGGCGGAGGCTGCGATAGGACGCCGACGCTTCCACCGGCTGGTGAGCCGAGGCAGGCTGGTTGACGGACGGCCGCCGTGGTACGGCGCGCTATGTGCCCCAGTTACGAAAGTTAATCCCCGCACCAGCAGCACACCTCACCTCCGCGCCGCGCAGCGCCACGACGCCCGCGTGTTCGAATGTGAATGTGAATGAGGAGAAGGGGTGGGGGGAGGGGGAAGGGGCGCCCCGCGCTACAATGGCGACAGGCCGGGAGAGTGAGTGGGGCACAGCACGTGCGTGCGGCGCGAAGGGAAACGCGTTGGAGCGGAGAGGAGGCAGCCTGTCCTTCTCGAGTGCATGACTGAGTAGTAGTGTGCCGGCCGGGGGCGTGGCGTGGCGTCGAGATTATACACTGTGGATGGGCTGGTCCAACCGGCACGGCACAAGCACTGCGGTACCGCGGTGTAATCACCAGGGGGAGATGAGGAGAGGTGGATCGGGACCCTCTCGTGCTCCAAATATTCACTTTATTCACCTCACAGCGCTGTGCCAGTCCCCCGTGTATGCTGCTCGCCGCCCCCGCCCCGCCTCCACCCCCGCACCCTGTGAACACCGGGAGGCACGGCCACCGATAAGACGCCGAGCGGCCGCGGTGAGGGCAGCGCTGGGTGCCATGCGCGCGTCATGGGCATTCCTGCGCCCCGTGGAGGTGCTCGAGACCCTCTTTTCCTCCTCCGCCTCCACTCTGTCGGGCAGCTCAGCCGGCACAGCCCCCCCC